CAGTGGGGACAGGAAACTGGGGTGAGGGGAGGCAGTCAGCCGGGTCATAAGGGAGAGTGGAAGGAGAGACCTGTGATTTAAGAAGGGCTTACTGTGCAACAGTTCTGAACTAACCCAGTACTTCTCGTGTCTCCCTTAACAGTTGGAGACCCCCTTGCCACTAAGTGCCTCTTTGCAAAGCTCCGGCCCCCCGCCCCCACACTTACTGGTACCACAACAGAGGGACGGGCCATGGCGGGTCGGGGAGGTGCAGCACGACCCAACGGACCAGCCTCTGGGAACAAGATCTGCCAATTTAAGCTGGTCCTGCTGGGGGAGTCTGCAGTGGGCAAATCCAGCCTTGTCCTCCGCTTTGTCAAGGGGCAATTCCACGAGTACCAGGAGAGCACAATTGGAGGTGAGTGGGCACGAGGGAGTGGGAGCAGCCTCAGAGAAGCCAAAGATAGGCCCTGGCATTGAGGGGAGGGGAAGCCGCCTGCCCAGGACGGCAGCACCTCTACCTCATCTGGGTGCTGGAATCAAAGCCAAAAGCTCTGTGCAAAAGAGTATCAAGAATCATTGCTAGTAAGAATGAGCTGGGAGTTGAAAACTGACTTCGGTCCTGGCTCTGCCTCTTCATTATTTGTGTGGCCTTGGCCAGGATGCTTCCCCCTGACCTGCCCTCTGGGAAGGGAGAGGCTGAGTCTGGACCTCTGCAGGTCCTTCCCACTCTAACTGGCAGTCCATCTGCCCTGGCCTCTTGCTGCTTTCCAGAATGGGGAAATGGCCTGGGGAGTCGTGGCTGGGAGAGGAGGTTGGTGTTTTCAAAGCAGATCTTTATCCTTTCTTTCGCATGTCATTGGTTTCTCAGTGGTCAGCTTTTAGGATGTGAGGGTCTGAACTCAGCCTCTTGTTCTAGTGGCCAGTAAAAACCCAAGGGGCCAGGGCTATCCTTGGGCTCGAGTCATCCTTTCTCTACTCTCTTGGTTGGTAGGAGGGTTCCAGGCAGCTGAAACAAAATGGGCCATGTCAGCAGTCTTCCTGCTGCCTCCTCAGCACTC